AATGATGCCATCAGGATCAAGAAGAAGAAGGAGAGAGACCTTAATGAAATGGAAATCCAGCTGAACCATGCCAACCGCATGTCTGCTGAGGCCCTGAAGAACTACAGGAACACACAAGGCATTCTCAAGGTAAAAGGGGTCAAGAGATGGCCCCAGAGCAGGTGAGGTTGAAGCCCTGAGAACAAGATGTCTCAATGATCCTTCATCCACAGGACACCCAGCTACACCTGGATGACGCTCTCCGGGGCCAGGAGGACCTGAAGGAGCAGCTGGCCATGGTTGAGCGCAGAGCCAACCTACTGCAGGCTGAGATTGAGGAGCTGAGGGCCACTCTGGAGCAGACGGAGAGGAGCAGGAAAGTCGCAGAACAGGAGCTGCTGGATGCCAGTGAGCGTGTCCAGCTCCTGCACACCCAGGTGAGATTCAGCACAAAGAAGTCGCCTTTAATAAATGTGTATATATCCCAGAAAATATAAGCTTAAATTTATATCTGACAGCCAGGTTTTATGTTTCTACCAAATTTTCACTGTATTATTGAGAAATCTTTTGCTCTTTTATTTTGTGTAAGTTATTTTTTCTTCCTATAATATTCTAAGGCTACTCATATTATTTTGTGTTAACATCTTTATTGACCCTAGTTATCAGTATTGACAGTTTTATTGTGGAGAAATGGAATGTTCGAATATCTGTTACCACTTTATGCCTGTGAATGGTCTCATTGGTAAATAGCCGTTATAAAATTATAGAGACATTGTCCAGGAAGCTCGCAACGCAGAAGAGAAGGCCAAGAAGGCCATCACTGATGTGAGCAGAGGGCAACGCAGTGGTGGTCAGACTGATGTGCTATCTCAGCTCCCTCAGCTGATTATGTTTTATTGCTAATTAGGCGGCCATGATGGCCGAGGAGCTGAAGAAGGAGCAGGACACCAGCGCCCACCTGGAGCGGATGAAGAAGAACCTGGAGCAGACGGTGAAGGACCTGCAGCACCGTCTGGATGAGGCTGAGCAGATGGCCCTGAAGGGCGGGAAGAAGCAGATCCAGAAACTGGAGGCCAGGGTGGGGATCTCAACATCTATTTCCATTTGCTCCCAATGCCTCACTGGATCACAGTTCTTACGAGCCTATTTATTCACAGGTGCGTGAGCTGGAAGGAGAGGTTGAGAGTGAGCAAAAGCGTAATGTTGAAGCTGTCAAAGGTCTGCGCAAACATGAGAGGAGAGTGAAGGAGCTCACTTACCAGGTACAGCAATGATTTTTACCAGCTAAGCTCTCCTCCATATACACGTGAAATGCTCACATGCATTGATATAACAACCATATTATTTAGAAGTAAAACTCTATGCTTTTTATTCTTTCAGACGGAAGAAGATAGGAAAAATATTCTCAGGCTTCAGGATTTGGTAGATAAACTTCAGGCAAAGGTGAAATCCTACAAGAGACAAGCCGAGGAAGCTGTAAGTATCCTTAAGCTAGAAGGGAGGAGACAAGTCCCCTGGTTAAGAAAAGTTAATAAATAATTAGATTTACTACTCCTTGTAGTAAATAAGCTATTTGCTTTATAGAGACTATGTACTTCTTAAAAACTTTTGTGCCCTTTTATACTTATTGCTCATTATTGATAACATTAATAGCTTGCTTTAAAAAGTAAATTTTCAATCCACAAAGAAATCTCAAAAAATTTCAAAACAGAAATAATACAGGCCACATTTTCTTGCCACAGCATGTAAAATTGTAAAGTGATGAGAGATATAAACAAAAATTCCCAAATGCTTAAACATTAAGAAGCTACCTTTCCTAAATATTTTGGGCTAAATCAGAAATCAAAAACAATTATGAATAGTTGTCCATTATAAATAATATTTCAAGGAAAATACTATTTTCACAGACTTATAGAATAAAGTCAAAGCTGTCCTTGGAGGACAAGTCATTGCTTCATATGTTTTTGTTATGAATAAAAATAAAAATAAATGAACAAACTGGCAGTCCAATAAAGAAATTATAAATAATAATAAAAGTAAGAAGTGATAATAAAAATAAAGGTAGAAATTAATGAACAAGAGTGTGTTATAGTCTAATTTGATAATTTCAGTACTACCTGATAGTCTCTAGGGAGTTAATAAAATAATAGTAATAAAATAAATACACTTATATCTAGCTTAATTGAGGAAAAAGAGAAAAAAATACAAACTCTCAACATTAGAAATGAGATAGACAAACCATATAAGTAGGTTTACATTTTTAAAATGTAAAATATAAACCTGTCAACAAAGTTGAAATCTAGAAGAAATTGGTGATTTTTATAGAAGAACATAAGTTAGTAAGTTGGCTAAATAATTTATTTCAGAATTTCTTCTGAAGATGAGCTCAGCTCCAGATACTCTTTCAAAACCTCAAGTAGCAGATAATCCCCCAGCTATGTTAGCCGTTGCAGAGCATGGGAAAAGATGAAAAGATTCCCAAATTATTTTAAGAAGCTCACATAACCCTCATACCAAAACCTGTCCAAGCGAGAAAGAGGGGGAAAACTAAAGGCAGTTTACTAATGAATATAATTATAGTAAAAATAAATTACTAAGCTGTGGAAACCCTTACTTTTAGAAAATATATTTTTATTGATTTCAGAGAGGAAGGGAGATGGAGAAAGAGATAGAAACATCAATGATGAGAGAGAATCACTGATTGGCTGCCTCCTGCATGCCCCCCCACTGGGGATCAAGCCCGTAACCCGGGCATGTGCACCAAAGGCGGCCTCCTGGTTCATAGGTCAACACTCAATCACTGAGCCATGACAGCAAGGCTAAAACTCTTACTTTATTCAGGATATTGTCCATTAGTGATTAAATAGGTTCAATTCTTATAATGCACGGAATATTTAATATTAGGGAAATCTCTCAATAGAATCATTACATCCAGACAAGGAGAAAAAAAAGTGAGCGATTGTATTAAAATGTGACAAAATAATATATCCTGAAATTAAACATTTTTTTTAAGTTAAAGAAACTATTAAGAAATTCATCCTTGCCCTAGCTGGTTTGGCTCAGTGGATAGAGTGTCCATCAAGGGCACGTACCTCGGTTGTAGGCTCAATCCTGGTCCTGGTTGGGGCACATGCAGAAGGCAACCAATGTGTCTCTCTCACATTTATGTTTCTCTCTGTCTCTCCCCCTCCCTTCCAATCTCTCTAAAAATCAATGGCAAAATGTCCTTGGGTGAGGATAAAAAAAATAATTTGTGAGAGAAAAACAATGGAGTAAAAGAGATGGGGGGAAT